AATTCTTGTAGAAGAAAGGAAAGCTGTTGTGAAGAAGGAAAGAGAGGGTATTTTGAAAAAAAAAAAAAAAAAAAAAAAAAGGAGGAGACTTGTTCAAATAACACTGAGAAATCAAATAATTTAAAGCTTTTGATGTTACAACATACCTGTTTTAATTTAAAAAATAGGGTTGATCTAGATATTGTGGCAAATCTTGCCATAAAGACAAACCATTGAAGACATGGAGATGGATGGGCAGGTCAGAATGTAGTCCAACATTTCACTTAAATATAATATTAATACATAATATAATATATTAAGCCTTGTTAAAACTGCAATATCCAAAAATGAATCATCTGATCCGTCTCAGATGGAAAGAAGTTTCCATCCAACGAGAAGTCACTGAAGGAGGGAGAGGGGGAAACAAAGTTTTCATCATAGAATCTAGAATTTGAGTAAGTAATCTGAAAGTTGAAACTACAGGTATATGATGGATTAAATTGCATTTATGGCATTAATTTTGAAAGGTCTCAAGCAAATTATGTCTATGGATGTTTTATCTGAATATACAGATCAGTTTAAAAAAAAGTCAGTTGTCATGAAAAAGCTTTCCTACCAAATTTTATAAGAACAACATTATTAAATTGCATATGAGTTTTACAATAAGGTAATGGTTCAGACCTACTCCAAGAACCATTGGGAAATTTTAGCTATAGAGCTTGTTGCAGGTCAAGAAGAGGAATGTATGCCCATTCATTTGTGGAATACAGCTATCATGGAATGAAATAAGGAGAACACAGCCTGAGAAAAATCTATATGTTTTTTTCAGAGTAGCTTCCATTTTAGCCTCATTGTACTGAAAAACTGAAAATTTCAGGTGAGACATGGATTTCAGAATACAGTGAATTTTGCATTTATTGTATTTGAATACATGGAACAGTATTACATAATAATAGAGGAATGCTTAAAGAGGCTTTTGGACAACAAAACTTCAGCTAGTTTCACTCCAGCATCTGAAATCAGATGTGAAAACAGGGGGGGCTAGAAAGAACTTCAGAAAACCCCAACTCACCCAGAATGTCTCACTGGTAAATTAGAGCAACACAAAAAATAACAGTCTACAAATGCCCTCAAAGCAGTCTCTCACAGATGGTCAAAACATCAGCAGGAACAATTTGGAAATAGATCTTCTTTTCATTACAGATAGGAATATGATGATGGCTTAATGTATATACTTAAAATTCAAGCAAACTAATTTTACTTCTTTCCCCTCTCCAATCCTCTAACAAAGATATCTTCCATATTACTGAAATAGTGGAATGCTGCCATCACTACAGCCTAAGCAATTAAAAGGAATAGATTTTTAAAGCACATGCTCAATAGCAACTGGCACTTTGGCAACAGATACTGTGACCATGAAACTAATGACACAATAAAATAAAGCTGAGATAGGCACCAAGAGGCTTTTCAACCTCAGAGATGCAGCAGGTAGGACACTGAGTTACAGTTAATTTTTGGTGAAAGCAGAAAACCAGAACCTTATGTAGGCATGATCCTGTAAGATAACAGAGAAACTGAACTAGAGGCACGGGCCAGTTGGGTTTCTGATCATCTGATCAACACGATTTTGCAAAATTGTTCTAAATAAACAGTAACACAATTATAGAATGCTCCTACCATTTGTCAGCTGTTTTCATATTAGCCAAACTGATAATTGGGAGGCTGATGAAGAAACGGTATTATGAAAGTTTAATGATGATATTTAACTAAAGCAAGTATTTACTCATGCAACATAATATGGAGGTTTCCTATGTACAGTTCTGTACTTCTGATTGCCCTTGCTTATTTTAAACTGATGTTAAAAATCACTACAGTAACTGTCCTGAAACTCACAAACAAGCAATATTCCCCTTTATATGCAGATATTTTAATATGTGAAACATTATTTCTATGTGATGATACAACATATAGAACTTTGCTTAAAACAAAGTAACCCTAATAGTAAACATCATCTGTTACTCATATGGAAGTATGTGATACTCATTTTCATTTTCCAGTACTCCATGGTATCAGTCTTAAAATCTTATTTGTGCATTCCTGGATTGTTGTTTTTCTTTGGTTGGTTGTTTTTGGTTTTGGTTTTTTTTTTAACTCTAACATTTCTAACTTGCTATAGTTCTTCTGGTTAATATACATAGGACTCTACCTAATCCCTAGACTTTTCAGGAAAATTTATAATTTTTTGAACACAATTAATTGGCTGAGGGTGTTCAATGTAAGAACCTTCAAGGACCCAAAGCAAAAAAAAAAAAAAAAACAACAAAAAACAAACCTACTCTACTAGACCGGTTTTCATAGGGAAACACACAGACTTTTGTCTTCTCAAACAGCACTAACTGCATCTAAGGAGTTTTGGTTAATATTCAATAAATCATTATGCAAAATGTTTTTAAGCGTGAACAAAATATTAACATCTACTGACAGATTAGTTTCCCATAAAAAAAATGTTTTAATGAAAAAAATAAATGGATGAAACACTTGTAAAGATTAACGTACAGTAAATATGATTGTCAATGACAATCCACTTTGAAACAAGGCACATGTCACAAATCTAGCAGTTGGTTTCCACTTCTCATTTTAAAACAGCAGAAAATAACAATTATAGAAACCCTATGGACTAAACATCTATCTTTTGGTCCTGTGACAACAGGTGAGCGAACCTGATGATTCAGTTGATTCAGTCCATTGATTCTATACAGCAGCTGTCCTTGAAAGTGCAAAGGTTTAGATTTCTTTGCCCGAGACTAATAATTTTGTATGTATTCTTTGCAAGGAAAAATGTGAGATTCAAATGCTGATATGCAGGATTGCAGAGATCATCTGTCCCTTCTCCATAATTAGAATTATTGGGTCATGCCTCACACTGACATTATGAGTTGACCAAAACAGTCAAGAAATACCAAGAACCTGGTTTTTTTTTTTTTTTTTTTTTTTTTCCCCCCTATATGTTGACAGCTTTCCCCTTTTCCCAGATTTCAGACATGGGATTTTTGGTGTGATATATTTCCACCACTGCTTCTCTTAAGACATCATGACTGCTGTTTAACAGTTACCTGTTAATATTAGAAAAGCATCACCATTTCAGCATTCCCATAAGGGAATCTCCCTAATTAGGAAATAAATTTTTTAAAAGCCAGGTCAGTTTCAGGTACAACTCTGATCACTAATAGATTTTACCTCTCTCCCATAAAACATTCTTATATTCCTGCCTTACTGAAACTATCTGTACTTCCACTTACTGATCTTTTCAGTATTCATATTCTGCAATATAAATTACAGCATTATATCAACTAAATATTTATATCAACTAAAATCCTTGGTTTTAACAAGCGACACCATAATCCCCTCAGCATACATTGTATCTCAACACTTGTCTCAATTCCGAAGAGGACCCCAAAACAGCAGAACTCTGCAGAACAAAGGCTGTTCACATGACTGATTTCATTAAGGGATTAAAAACTGCATTTAGAATGGATTTCATTACAACAGGTTTGATAGGCTTGGATAAATGAAGCCCAAAACATCCAGCAATCTGATTTAGGCACTCCAAGACTAAGATACATAAGACAATTTAAATCACACTTCTTTTTCCTTTACAACAAAGAATGTGGAAATGAAAAGTAGGTCAAATAATCTCACAGCAAGCTATTTCACATCAGGGGATGTATGCAAATAGTAAATTTTTCTTACTTTTATTACAGACAAAGAAAATAAAGCATTGTTTAAGCACACTGAACTTTCAATGTAAGTTTCTTAAAAACATCCCTTCTCTAGGCTAAAGCTTTACAAATAAAATTTCAAATTAGAGCGTTAAGTACAACATGCAGCTCCCAGGCCAGCACGGCCCACCAGCAGATGAAGGGCAGCACGCTCAGTCTGCAGTGAAGTGGCAGAGGAACAAGGAATAGTTAGGGAAGGCACT